CAAGGTCTGCCTGTAGCTTTTGCAAAGCAAGGCTAGTTTAGACATTTTTAGCAAGATAAAAACTTCAAACACCGTTGGTCAGGGAAGGTCAGGGAAATGAAAAAATAAAATTTCAGTGGCAACCTTGTAACAGCAGCCCTCCACTAACGGGCGACATATGGGGGACCGTCTTTTTTCTCATCCCCCTCCCTCCAGTAGCCTGTCCAAACTTTCTCCATAGCGTTCTTCGGAAGCTAGACAGGAGGCCGGTGAAGGTGGACAGGGGAACGTCTGTTTCTTCAAATTTAGATTCAACACACAGGGTGGAGTTGTTGGGGTTTTGTGTGTGTGTTTTTTGTTTTGTTTTGTTTTTTGGCACAGTTCCTTCAAATTAGCCCCCGTACACTTTAATCTGAACATGGGTGAAAAGCAGCTTCCCAGCTTTAATCTTGCAGAGTTCATTCGCTGACATGTGCGGATGGACATGCTAGTCCCTAAATCGTCACGCTTCCGGTATTTCTGAGTTACACCCACGTGTGTTTATGTGTGTTTTTCTCATCCAGGCGGGTGCCATGAAGAACTCGGCCACTGGAACAAGCATACAGGCGGGTGAGTCGGCTCTCCTGGAGCCAAGGGGGACGAGCTGGGGAGGAACCCGGCGGTGCCTTTTTCTGGCCGTGGGTCCCCCCCCCCCGATTGATCTCGGCTTTGTTTTCAGCCACCGTGAGCGGGAACGTTATCGTGAACACCGTGGCGGGAGTGCCGGCAACCACCTTCCAGCCCATCAACAAACGTCTGGCTTCGCCCGTGATACCCGGAACGCTGGCGGTGAGTCCGTTCAAACGCCCAAAGGAGCAAAAAAAAGACTCCCTTAGGTGGACGCGCTCTCGCTTTTATAGCTCGTCAAGCGTGCTGCTGTAGAATGCCTGTCCCGTTGGTCTAATTCCGCGATGGTGATGATCGTCACCATCATCTTAGAACTGCCGAGCGGGAAGGGACCCTGTAGTCATCCAGTCCAGCCTCCGTCGTGGGGGGGGCACGGTGGGGAATCAAGCTGTCCTCCAACGAGCGGAGGCGAGAAGCTTGCAACGGTTCTGGACTCTTCCCCTCCTTTCAGACTTCGGGAGGGACAACGGCGGCCGCCCAGGTGGTGCACACCCAGCAGAGAGCCACGACGGCGCCTGCTGCCTCTGCGGAACTGGTGACCCTCGCGTCCACTCCGGGGGTCCGGGCGGTGACCTCTGTGACGGCCTCGGCTGTGGTCACCACCAATCTGACTCCTGTCCAGACCCAAGCCCGGTCCCTGGTCACTCAAGTCACGCCAGGTAACATGGGGGCATGTGGAGGGGGTGATGGGGGGGCAGGAGTTTCCTGCACCTCTAACGTCAAAACCACACTCCTAGCCCTGTTCGGGTTGTAATCCCTGAACAGGGCGAAAGAGATCCTCATGCGCCGTCAGTCAATTCAGTGGGTTTACCCGAGCAAGTGGATTTGGGGCCATTGTGTTCTAACCACTTTAGAACTCCGGAGCCAGAAGGGGGACCCTAAGGATCATCCAGTCCAGCCCCGGTCATAGAGGCCCGGTGGGGGAATCGAACCTCCCACCTCTGGCTCTGCAGCCAGACGCCTTAAACCACTGAGCTGTCCGGCGGTGCTTCGATTCTTCTTGACATCGAAACCCCCGTTTCTGGCGAAACCACAAACTGGGATCAGACTCGAACCGGGAAAGGTGGAAGGAATCACCCTCCACAGAGAGAGAGTAAGAGTTGGGCAAGGAACCCCAGCCTCTCTTCTTAATCCTCTTCTCCTTTGCGTCCTCCTCCAGCAGCCCCGGCGGGGGTGCAGCTTTCCGGAAAGGCCATCACGCCGGCTCACTTCCAGCTCCTGAGGCAACAGCAACAGCAGGCGGCCGGTCAAGTCCCGGTGGCCCAGATCCAGGCTCAAGGCCAAGCGCAGTCGCCAGCTCAGATCAAAGCCGTCAGCAAGTTGCCCCAGGTGAGGACGCCGGCCCTGGTGCGCTCCCTGGAAGCTGGCCGGCACATCCTGGGTGTGTGTGTGTGTCCTTTGGATGCTCTGGGAGGCCCGTTCCCGAGAAGACACACCTGTCTGGTGGCAGTGCTGAGAGGGTGGGCGGGTCTTTGATTAACAGTTGGGGGGCAGGCGGGCAAAGGCTGTCCCAGACCCAATTTAATAACTCTTGTTTGGAGGGCACTGTATTGTTGTCCTTCTTAATTTAAAAAAAAATGGTGGTAGTTTTCCAGAACTCCGAAAGAATAACGTAAAGCTTGCAGCATCAAAACTTGAAGGTAGTTTGACGAGTGCACAACACGTTTATACATTCCGTGCTGTAGTAGTGATTGAAATGTTTGTATCTGGCTGGGATAACGCTGCAACTTCTTGAAGATAGGTGTGGCAATAACATGCTTTTGTTTTGTTTTCCTTTTGCTTTTTGTTCGTTCGTTTCGGTGTCGTCATTAATGAGAGCCCCGGGGCGTAGAGTTCAGCTGCCCCACTGCTCTGACCCTGAGCGGCGGAGGGCTTTTTGAAGTGGGCGGGTGGGTTGGCCATCCTTTGCTCTTTCTGGTTGCTGTGTCTCCCAATGTGGAATGGGAACCTGTTTCCGAACAGTTTTGATTCTTTTCTTCTACTCCTTCCTTATGGTGTTGCTTAAAAAAACTTAGTTCCCAAAACTCTTCCTCTCTCCCTCCTTTCCTCTAACCCTGGAGCCCCCCAACCTGCGGTCTGCGGCCCCCGTACCGGGCCATGGCCTTGGCAAGACCGGGCTGCAGAGACTGATCTCCTGCCCACACCCCACACATATGCCCCCCATGCACACACATGCATGCACAGGTGCCCCCC